CAAACTGACACTACTATAACTGAAACAAATAACTACACTGCTGTCCTACGAACACAGTGGGGACCACTGCAGTGGGGCCCACATCAATGTTCTCTACAAAAGTCAAGGATAAGAGCTAGGGAAACATATTAGACTTTAAGGTGGCATTTGGTTTATGGTATGTAATCAAAAGATAATTTATCAGACAAGTTACTCATCATCAATAAAAAATGTACTCTTTTACTTTTCTACTGTTGATCAGTAGATATTTGTAAAAAAAGTTACTTACATGTAGTGAACCCAAAACCCCTAAATGAAATGGGGCCAATTTATGCAGTATGAAGATTTAATGGATTTTACTGTTGTTTTGGCAGTTTGGATGGACAATAGGTTTATAGTTATATCATTACAGATCAATGCTAGACCTTATCCTTTTATTATAATGAAGGTTGTTGAATTATCCCTAAAGCTCTTTTTTGTTTAATGTATCATCTATCTCTTCCATACACTTCTGCAAATTGAGAAATCTTACACAACTGTCTTTATTGGCTATCTGTATATTGATTTGATCTCCAATTTTATGAAAATATCAACTCCTGTCATTAATAAAATTTAAAATTTTCTACCTCTGTATCTATGTTTACCTGTTCTTCAGTTGATGATTAAAAATTAACCAGTATAATAGTTCTTCTACACAAGGATCTCTCTAGGAAATTGTGATTCATATTTTACATTTAGCCGAGGGTCACTAAATGAATAATTCTTTATTTTGCAACCTTAATTTAGCTGAGTGTTGTAAAGATTGCCTTCTGATCTGTCGACTCAAACCCATATAGAAGGAAAGAAACAAAGGAAGAAAGAATAGATGTAAGGTCAAGAACTACAACTTTTAGGCTATGTTTGGTTTGAAGGAAAAGGTAGGGAAAGGAAGGGGAATGTAGGGAAATCTTTACAAACCTTGTATAGGTTTCCTTGCCTTTCCCTTCTTTTCCCTACTTTTTCCTTCTAACCAAGCACAGCTTTAGTGTTTTTTCCTTTCATTGATTGGAGGCAAGGACCCAAAGAGTTTAGTGAATCATGATTATCATCATCATCTGATCCTTATTCCAACTATATGGGGTCCACTACATGAAACAAATTACTACTTCTATCCATTTCCTTTTTGGTCTACCCCTATTCCTTATATCCCCTTTAACATGCAACAAATTACTTCTTATAGGTGCTCTTGATAGTCTTCTATGCACGTGACCGAACCATCTTAGTCTATTTTCCCTTAGTGAAACAATGTAAGGAATATAGTGCTAAGACCAACATATTGAAGCGAAAACCTCATGGATCTTGATGAAAGGGAGATCTCTTCATAAATGCTGGAAACTGTACATCACTAGAACTTTCATCTAGGTACTGAGTTGGTGGTTAGATACCTGGCCAACAATGACTGACCAAAATGGACATTTTGGCTACAAAACTTCAAGATTATGTGAACAGCAGGACTTATTAGTACCTTTTACTTGGAAAATACAAGAACAGTTAACAGTACATTAACAATCCAGCAAAAGTTTATCTGACTTTATCTGTTCAAGCATCTTGACAACCTCATTCATGGTCGGTCTCTTGGAGGGATCTGACTCAAGACACATCAGTGCGATACGGAATACAATGTTAACTTCATCCATTGGATAACACACTAGGTTACTATCAATTACATGCTCTTCCTTCTTCTCATAAATCACTGCTTTCACCTGTCATAACACTCAGCTCAATATACTTAAAATACTTTGAATGATGAAATGAAGTTCAGGGAGAAATTAGTAGCATGAAAAGGGTCAACCAATTCAGGACACAATATGAAGTAGTTGAAGTATCATCATGAAATTAGTATAGCTAAAATATTCTTGCCTAATGGAGAATACAACTAGAACAATTTATCATGTATTTAACAATTAAATGTCACCTATAGAAAGGAAGTGTGTGTTATTAAGGGTAGTTGACTGTATCTAACTTGACAATGAAAAAAATGAAAATTAAATTTTCACATTCTAAATAACTGAGACAATTTAAGAGAATACAAGTTCATATGGTTTCTTGATGTTATTTGTTTAATATATAGAATGAATCTGATTTGAGGATTAGTTGCAAATAAAAGATGTAAATACATTATTCAGTTGGACAACTGAAACATGTTGGTCTGCTAATGGCATTATGAGTGTATACTCATGACCAAACTGACTATTCTCTCAGAGAGAAAGCAACAAGGAAAATTACAGGGGGCTATGGAGTCGAATTTTCAGGAGACCTGAAAGCAAATGTCCATGAATCTTTGCTTTGTTGTGCATTTACAGCATGAGGAAGATAATGTAGTAGAATTTTCCTTATGAAACCAAGTAGCTGCAACTATAAAGCAGGACAGGAAAACATGAAACATTAGTAAGGAAGAATAAAATATATGTATACTGAAATATCAGTTATAAATTAAAAGTGTTTTTTGAAACCTTTTTTTTTTTCTGAGTTTCTATATGGTCCCATGAATGTGGGTTGAAATAGGTGAAATCTTAGTTGTATTGTTCTAAATAAGGTGCCGACTTTCATGCTTGTAAATTTAAGAGAATGCTAGACATATCCTTAACAAAGAATCATGCAACCAACATCTGAAGAAAGGTGCAAAACCAGAAAAATTAAGTGGGGGAACTTCAGACTTCTTGAGATAATAAAAAATAAATCAAAGATGGAACAGACACAAGATTAATTGGTTGATTGTATCCATTGAAGAACATAGGAGGAGATTACTTATGACACATGCTGCATAAAAAATGACTTGGAATAATAAAAATGATACGTTCTTCATATTTCTACATTATTATTCATATTTATGAAAGCAATAAAAATGAAGTGACAGCTAAACCAGGGAGCTTGGAGCAGACAAACTCCATTTAAACTTAACTAGGATATTGTAAATTGAGATGCACTGATGCACCAAGGCCAAGTCTTGGAAATTGGAATTGTACACTTGTACTTAATTGGGAGGAGAACTTACCCAAGTCACTAGTTTGGTTCCTTCTTCAAGAAATGCTTCATCCATTGGTCTTTTTCCAGTAAGAAGCTCAAGCAAGACAACACCAAAACTGTAAACATCCCCTTTTGCTGTTGCTTTCCCAGTATCAAAATATTCTGCAAAACAGCATTAATACATCATTAAACAGGACTTTCACAAAAATGTTGTCACTCTGACAGGGAGAAAATGAGTCCTGGGGTCTGGTTATGTTATCTGTACCAGGGGCTAAGTAACCGAAAGTCCCAGCAACAAATGTTGAAACATGAGTATTATCTGGTTCCATCAATGTAGCCAATCCAAAATCAGATACTCGAGCTTCCATGTTTTGGTCCAACAATATATTACTTGATTTAATATCTCTGTGGATTATGTGAGGAATACAGTCATGATGAAGGTATGAAATGCCTCTTGCGGCACCCAGAGCTATTTTGTATCTTGAAGGCCAGTCTAAAGGTTTCTTGTCACCTGATGTACCTGCAACAGTATCTTCTTTAAGTTGGAGAAACCCAAGAAGTAGCAGAAACCAGTCAATGACAGAGAGGATCAGATTAAAATTTATGCAGACAAAGCTATAAATTTTATACCATGAAGCAATGTATCCAAACTTCCATTAGGCATTAGATCATATATAAGAAGATTAAACTGAGGGGCACTATAATATCCATGAAGAGTGACAATATTCCGATGCTTTATATCCCCCATTGCCTTCAGCTCCCTCTCAAATCCTCGGTCACGGTCTGCACTACCCCTGTTTAGCCTTTTTACAGCAAAGGCCAATGAATCATTTATTATCAGTCTGTACACTGTTCCATAGCCCCCAGATCCAATGATATCTTTGTTAGTCAACCTCATTGTCTTCTTTAAGAATGCTTTTGAAGTAAGTGCTTGCATCTTTGGAGACCTGAACATTACCATCTTTCCACCTGTTATTACGTCTGGATGTGTTAGAAATTGCACATCCTTTTTTAGCTGCTGGTTCAAAAAATTTAACTAATTGTTACTCCAATAAAGTAAAGAGTATTACCTGAAATGCTATCTTGAAAAACAATGTTTTTCCTTTGCCATCGCTTGTAAAGGAGGACTGATATTATAATTTTAGAGATGACAAAAGACACACAACATATTGTGATGTAGAATGCTAAGACCCCAGCATTTCCCATTTATTTCTACAGAATGTTGTGGAAGTAGAGAATTCAGAGGATGCCAGATGGTTACATAGAAAAAGCATGCATCAGCATCAATTAATCCACACTGAGCTATTGACTTCTCAATGCCCTCTGCAATATCGACAGAACTGGGTTAAAACATAAAAGAAGAAACAAATTCTCCAAGGAAATCGGACAGCATTCCAGCCAGTTTCAGCATCGTTTATGGATATTTTTTAATCAGTATGATTTATCTAGTGTCCTGATTTTCAGTGCTTAATACACTATAATGGGACAGGAACTGAGAAGAATATGATCTTTCCATTTAAATTTATACATTATAATGACACTTAATGGGCATGCTGTCTATATGGAGTGAGAACCGAGGAGGTTGTCAATCTGAAATACTTCACTTGTATCTCTGCCTTTCCACCATACCACTCTCTACCTGCCCCTTTATGAATTGGAAGCATATCTCTTTTCTTATTTCTTTTTGTTTCTATTTTTTTCTCTTTTTTTTTATTTTTGGTTCATGGGGCTACAACAAAACCAGGGGTAGCCTATCCCCATCCCCATAACCCCCCAACCCTGGTGGTAGCAGGATTTGATCCCGAGTCTCGGCTACAACCAGCCAGAGAACCCAACAGAGCCACCATCAGTTGGTTTATCAGAAACATTTCATTCTAGTCTTCCTAGGAAGTTAGACCCATATGTCTATTTATTACAGATTCACTAACAGAATTCCAATCAAATTTTCAAAATGCTTAAGTGAAAACAGTTACTTGACATGGTTCCAAGGCCCTTGGAAGGAAAACTAAACCGAAATCATGGCGTTTACTTACAGAAACATGCATAATCAACTGCGATCCATCAAGGTGAGGCAACTAAACTGAATTCCATACAGTAATGAAAAACATAAAGAAACAAACGACCCACAGCTTATTTATAAGTCAGGAATGAGTCATTGGATCAACTGATTACTGCTTCAAAATGAATTCCTGTTGTTTCATAAGTAACAAGAATTAATAAAGACGACTCTCTCCATTCAACAACTTTGGAAGCTAAAACAAAAGTTGAAAGATAGACACTGTCAGAAAAAACACTAAGCAATCCAAGGAGATGCTCTTTTTCACAAGTCATACTATAACCATCAAAACAGCATCAACTGATTACTGCTTCAAAATGAATTCCTGTTGTTTCATAAGTAACAAGAATTAATAAAGAWGACTCTCTCCATTCAACAACTTTGGAAGCTAAAACAAAAGTTGAAAGATGGACACTGTCAGAAAAAAACACTAAGCAATCCAAGGAGATGCTCTTTTTCACAAGTCATACTATAACCATCAAAACAGCATCAACTGATTACTGCTTCAAAATGAATTCCTGTTGTTTCATAAGTAACAAGAATTAATAAAGAWGACTCTCTCCATTCAACAACTTTGGAAGCTAAAACAAAAGTTGAAAGATAGACACTGTCAGAAAAAACACTAAGCAATCCAAGGAGATGCTCTTTTTCACAAGTCATACTATAACCATCAAAACAGCATCAACCCATTAAAAAACTGGCATGCTGTTTGATGAAGCAGTCATAGTAGAAACACCATAGCACTTCAGCCTATTGAGACCAACTCCATTTCCATACCAAATTCTATTTGTATCTGAGAAATTTAACAACACCCAGAACCAAAAAAAAAACAGCATTCCAGACTATAAACAATAGTAACAGCTAGAGAGAAATCAAACATCTTGCCTGCATTCTTTAACCCCAAGAAGGATGTCTTGCCAGAAAGCAATAAGACAAACCCAACTATGAGTTTCTTCTCAAGAGTACCGACTCCAGTCCAGGTGAGATCCAATAGGAGGGTGGGAACAGAGAAGAGAATGAGCGCATGGAGAAAGTTTCAGCCAAGTACTACTCAAGAATGAACAAACAACCTATGAATTTTGATGCTATCTGTACGACTAATTAACCAACCATGAACTATGATTTATGCTCACTTTGTTGACGTTTTAATGGTCTGAGCAGCACATGAAAGCTGAAGACATTGCCCACGTAAGATGGGGACTTCACTCCTCAGCTCAGTGATCTGAGGAAGACACGTCTTTAACAATTACATGAGTTTGTGCGTGGAAAGTATCAAACCCCTGCTTACTTATCAAAAAGAAAATCGAACCTTTGATACACCGACACCAAACCAAATGCAAAGGCAGACGCATCAGGAATCATGTGAAATTATTTGATGTATCTTACCTAATAAAGAAAAGAATTTCGTTTTCTGAGTGTTGTCCATAGTTATACAAAAGCAACCAGACACTCCGGTTTTTTGGGAAAATCCGTGTGAATCCTTGTTGCTTTCACGTTTGTTTCATCTTTCCTTTGGAACATGGGCCAACCATCCACCACCTGGTCGAACCGGCAAATCTTGGAACTTGGTTGTTCAGCCCAACAGTACCACTCTAGACTAGAGTCCCCAATCCACACCCTGCCATATTCATCAAAAGAGGACTGAAGGGTTAGATTTTTTTTGGTAATTCTGGACTATTTATACTGAGACAATTTTTTGGTGAACTTTTTATACTAAGACATTGAATGCTTGAATGGTTGATGGTTTAAGGAATGCTGCAATTTTCAAGGATATATTTATGAAGTAAACTCATATATGTTTGATCCAGTTACCCACTTTTGTAATCCGTATTAGACCCACTCAAGGTTTAAAGTATCGATACCTATTACACCATATCATAAGATAAATATCAGTTTTCAGGGTCCCCAATATGCCATATTCTACGGTTAATACCCTTTCTAGAGATGGCATGGTTCAAAGCTGGAAAGCTGAAACAATTTCAATCCATGAGAGATATGCACTTTTTGTGTATCAGGTGTATCGATACTTTGAATCATATGGATCCATTCCTCTATTGGGTTGGGATACCTCCCATCCGGATTTTGGATGTTGGGTTGTTGGCTTGGTTTGGACAAACCAGCTGGTAAACCCAACAGTCCAACCCAGTCTCAAAGTGGGTCAAGAGTTTAGACTACAAATAATGACCCACCGAGGTCCAGAGGCTGAAGGCCAGTAGGTTTCATTATGGCATTGGTTTGATGAAAGGTGGAAACAACTTGGCCTCCCATCTCGGCTTCTGGCTTTAAAGCATCCTGCAACTGCAAAGAAAAAGAAGAGTGATGACAGTGATGACCACAAAGACATGTTGATCTCAAGATAAAGAGCCCATGTGTTTCTCTCACTGTCTCCAAGATTTGAAAATGTTTTTCAACGAATAATTGATAAACATTGTAAAGCCCTCACGGGTTGTACAGTTAGAGCTTTCTCATCAAATGGTTGCTCTAAAGTCTGAAAATGGTGCATGGTTTGAGCCTTTGAGGAGAAGTTGCAACCACAATCTTGGGATTCCAGTTGATTTTAATGAGATAAGACAAAACAGGATCTTTGTTCATTAGAGTTTGATAAATGGTTTTAGTGCATGCTGCCAGTCTGGACTCTGACCCAACACTTAAGCATGTATGCTGGAAGCCTGGATGAGGAAATATCCTTCAACTTCATTAGAGAAAATACTCAAACATTCTAGGCTTTACTGCTTCTGCATTTCCAAGAAAATTATGATGAATCAAAGGTAAGTTGTCTAATGAAGCTGGTTAAGGCTACACTTTTTAGGTTGGGCTGGACCACTCTTTACAAGCTAAGTGGGTGGCTTCGTGATTGTGGCCTGCACCGTTGCGTAGCCATTTCAATGATGAAGATTATATATACTAAATCTGTAAACATAATTCGTCAATGACAGTTTGGCCGAGTGGTCTAAGGCGCCAGATTTAGGCTCTGGTCCGAAAGGGCGTGGGTTCAAATCCCACAGCTGTCATTTTTTTTTTGTTTTTTTAAACTACCAAAATTGGGCTATTAATTTTGATTTTCTACTTGTTGAAATGGGCCAACCTGAGTATGGCCCATATCCAATTATTCTCTACTAGCTTGTCCATCTCGAACCCAGATCTACTGAGTTCTGATCACAAAACGTGTGTATATAACATCACAGCCACACATACTCAGCACAATTTGTTGTCATTTACGGAGAGATATTCCCAATGTGTGACAGTATATTATGTGTACTTTGATGTGGTCAGTGTTTTGTCATCAGCAAATCCACCATCTCACCTCCTTCATCGCTTTTATAAAAGTAGGCTGTATTGGGCCAAGGGCTCAGTTTGGAAGCAGTATAGATACAAACAGTTACTGAATTCTGAAGCACAACAACCAGTTACCATCGTTTATAAATTATTATTTATAATTTAGGGCTGCATTTGGCAAGGCTTCTTGTCTCTAAATGGGCTTTTTTAGATGTGCCTTTTTTATGAGCGCTTCTAAAAAAGCGGTTAAAATCTGCTTGGTAAAGTGCTTTTTTGAGGTGTTTTTTCTAATGACAAAAGCATTCATTTGATAACATTGCTTGGTTCAAAACGGGTTTTTTCCAATATAAAAATAAAAGGGTTTGACTATGATATGGAAAAGATATGATATGGGAAAAATAACTGACCAATAAACTAAAATCACAGACGTGATAGCAAATAAGGTGTTATTTATCAAAATTCATGCGTGGGTTTTGATTGGTCAAAACTCTTTCTATATCATATCTTTTTTGTATCATAGATTTTCCCAAAAATAATATTCTCTTTCATTGTGTATAAACATAAAAAACATGCATAAACACCATTTTATGCCCCATTAAACGTCAATTTCTTTACTGCCAATAAAGTGCCAAGTTCATGGATATTTTCAAACCAGCTCTACACAGTTCAATTGACCCCAAACCACATTTACTTGAAATAATTTAAGTCTTTTTATAAAGTATTATGGTATTAAAGACAATGTAAAGCTAGGTTTTAATATTAAAAAAATAAGAATATAACTTTGTAACACAAATATAGAACCAAAAATAGCCAGTGTTAACACAATGTGTGTAAATTAAAATTCATATTTGGGTAGCTACATGTCAGTTCGGTTCTATGGATAATCATATAATCAATGATAACATTAAAATTCAAGCTAGGTTTCGGGGTTTCAATCAATCCATGCTCTTGTATGAATAGAAATGAGAAAATATATGAATCACACCCTGTCCATTGCTTGAAACAGATGATCCGCTTAGGCTCCCAGGTCTGCCTATTGAATGCTGATTCAGAGATGACCTTGAAATAATCTTAAGAGACGTTGGTGAAGTTCCGAAACTTGATGATGATGCTATTAAAATGGCCAGAACCTTGTATTTTATGCCCCATTTGTTTTTGGGTAAATCACTTATTCGGGTAAGTGTTTTTCAGGAAAGACTTACCCGGGTAATTATATTTATCCATGTTCTTTTATTTCCCATATAAATAAGGCAATGACCATCTTAATCATAAAAATTTTCATTATTAAAAAGGATATTTTTGTCCCATCCAAGCATTGGCAACTTCCCCTAGATGGGAAAATTAATTTACCCACTTAGGAGATGAGTATACCCAGGAAAATAAACTTTCACTAATCCCCGTATAAATCTGAAAAAAAATGAATATGAATTTCTTAGTCAATGGGAATCAAAATCCCATTGACCAACTTTTCCCCTCTCAAAATCCAAAAAAAAAAAGAAGAGCGCCCCATTAGAGTGTGTGTGAGAGTGGATCTCACTAGGCTTTTCATTCTGGAAATTCCTCTCACAAATGAAGGAACCCAGGACAAGATTAAAGATTTTTTTATGAAAATATTTTCAATTTGTGCATCAATCATGGGTGGCATGGGCATAAGTTCCATGATTGTCCAAAAGCAAGGAAGGAGCAGTCGTCTGATGGATGGGTTACAGTCGTCAACAAAAAGAAACAGTTGGTACCTGAGACCTTGGGCCTCCAAAGTCACTGATAAGCGCAGGGAGAGGCAGTGGAAAGATAGGTGCCCTCATTGGATTCAGGCAAAGACTGTCGGTTTTGATCCAACAAGAAAGAACTGCGAAAGCCTGGTTCTTAAATCCTGGCCATGCCACTTTAGAACCAGTAAGTCAAAACTCCATCCAAAAGAGGTGGATTCCGAAGGAAAAGGTGGTGGATCTTAAGTAGACTGTTGGAGAGGAAGAAAATATAGGTGATGAAGAAGGTGAAGATGATGAAATGGCAGAGGACTGGGACGAACATCAACCAATTGATGGAGAGGATTTTGCAAAGAGGGATGAACCTAATAATAACCAGTATGAGGAAGAACTGAACTCAGGAAACTTGAAGCATCAAAGGGACAATATGGGTCCGATATACTCTTTTGTAATCAATGCAAATACTTAGTTGGAATGTGTGTGGGGCTGGTAGACCTAGCCTCCAAAGACAAGTTTTGGAACTAAGCCGAGTCCACAAATTAGGAATTTATTTTTTAATGGAAAGTTGGAAACAAGGGTAAACCTAGATGGTGCTAGGAAAATTGTTAAATCTTTTAATTTTGGTGAATTTTTTGCTTGTTGATCCTGTGGGGTTTTCTGGTGGACTGTGGATTTTGTGGAACAAAAACATATGTAACTTTTAAGGTTATCCTATCAAATGAAAGATTAGTTCATGCTTTAATAACTGAATTTGCTTCAAATAAATCTTATTTCTATACATTTGTTTATGCCCCTCCTAATAAAACTAGTCAACTTCAAGTCTGGAACTGGTCAAAAGATATTCCGGCTAATACAAGTGAAGCTTGGATTTTATTAGGGGATTTCAATGCCTTTAGATGGGCTGAGAACAAAAGAGGTGGAAGGGAGGTTCTCTCTTACCACACTAGAGATTTCAATGATTATTAGTGAGTGGTATTTTGGAACTTGAAAAGAAAGGAATCCAGTTTACTTGGAAGAACAAGAATGTATGGGAGATGATTGATTGGGCTTTAACAAATGATGTTTGGAGGAGAGAGTTTCCAAATGCTTCTCTTTTAAACCTCCCCTTCTTGGTTTTTGATCACTCCACCCTTGTTCTCTACACGGATGCCCCACAAAGCCAAAGGTCCAAAGCCATTGAGATTTGAAGCTATGTGATGTCTTGGCGCAAAAGTAAATGATGTTGTTAACAAATCCTGGAATTAAGAAGTTTTTGGGTCTTGGGATATCCAATTCATAAAGAAAAGAAATATTGTAAAGAAATGGAATAAAGAATATTTTGGAAATATTTTCAAGAAAAAACAAGAGATCCTAATGACTCTTGAGGAAGTCCAAAAT